TTCCCAAAAATTTACAAAAAGAGTGTGAAAGCATAAATAAGAACAAAGTTAAAAAGAAAAGGAAAATGAATTAAAGTGTCAACGGAAGTATTCGATTGAATCAGTCAGGCGAGGTTCAAACGGAACGGGAAAACAAGAAACAAACTATAAACTCCGAAGAATGTGGAGCTGCGTTATCTTCTTTTGCCAAAAAGATGACATTTTGATCAAAATAAATGAAGAGCCTTGAAGTACACTTGAGGAACAAGAGAAAACATTTTTCCAAAGAAGCATCATAGAGTTCGCTCAGAGACCTCTCGATCTAAGCATGATGTAATATCATGAAGAACGAATTCATTTATTGTTCTGTTTAACATTAGAAAATGACCGAATTAGATCGATAATCAAGATGTGAATTTCTGATTGCAGAGTTCTCACTGTTTATTGTAAAACCACTCCATCTCAAAACTGATTATTTCGAACAGACTCATGTACTCTTGAACAATCACCGAGAACAGTATTGGAAAAGACAATAAGTGGAAGAATATCTTCCTAGATAGCGTTTCACCAACTGGTAAAAGATAATTCACGGTTACTCTATGCAGAGAAATAAAAGAAAAGGTATCATCACGCAATTATAAAACTTGAGCATAATACTAACAGTTTGTGATCAGGTGGCCGAGTGGTTAAGGCGATGGACTGCTAATCCATTGGGGTTTCCCCGCGTGAGTTCGAATCTCATCCTGATCGAATCTTTTGAACTATATTGTTCTCACAACTTTTAACATATACATCGCTTGATTTTCTAATAGGGGAGGAATCTACTTTTCTTTTTTCTCTGCTAAGTTTTCTTCAAAGTCACTGTCAATTTCGAATTCTATGTCACTTTCGAACTCCACTCCTTCAAATGCTGAATCTTCATCGGATTCTCGGCTGTTCGTGTTATTCCAATGGTATACAGACGATCTTCTATTATCTGAAAAAATCGGTGAATTGTAAAAGTGCATACATGCCTTTACCTTGAGAATCTTTGTCTAGGACGTCCATCAGTTCTTTTGTTGTTTTCTTTTCTGGTGGCAGAACCTCAGCAACAATACGTAGCATCTTGGGTGTACTAAGACCAGATATTTTACATGTTTCTTCCAATCCTTTCTGCTCCACTTTTGATTCATCACTCTTTTTATCATTCTTTAGCATTTGTCTGAAAATACATAGCTTATAGCTCGTGTTTAATAATCGTACTTACGCTGCTTTTTTCTTTAATAAAGCTTGAGCCTGTGGATAATACTTAATGACATCGTTGAGATCTTCTTTCAATAATACGAAAAGCGTTGTATATCCTTTCGCTTTGATGGAAGCTGTACGACGGTTATTTCCACCAATTGCTAGCAAACTGTGGAAACCTCTACAACGGAATAAAAGAAAATCAATACCTAATTTCTCCAAAAACAGATCCTTGAGTTAACTCTGCGAAAACTTTTTCATTATTATCTCCTCCGACCACTTGTAGAACGCCTTGATTGACGATATACATTTCTTTTCCAACGTCACCCTGAATACAGAGAAATATATGAACAAAGATATTCAATACCAAACCTTTTTACAAACCATGTCCCCTGGTAGAAAAATCACTGGACGTAGCTTAAGCACGAGATCTCGTAAAAGAGCTCTATCACAATCCTTTAAGTATCAAATTATTTAGAAAAAGTATTATCTGGTATACTTGAAATAATTGTACTTTACTCAAAGTATTGTAATGTACAGACAAAGCCAAGTCTGTCTGGAGTTTCAATGGTAACTTTTCGATCAGCTTCTTTTCATCTGCACAGAAACTGAATCAATCTAATTCAGAAGTCATGATATTCACCTAGTGTTTTCTGTTGTTGCCAAGTATAAATGAACCAATCTCGAACTCGATCGGTCAAATCTTTTGATAGATTCAACCTTTTGCATTCACCAAGAGCAAGATCCATTTTTCTCTGGTACTCTTCTCTATTTCGATTAGCGTTCGAGACAATGTCTCTGATCTGAAAAAAAAAACGCTCTAACTTTGGAGAATAAACCAACTTGTCCGAGTAGCAAGGCGAATACAAAAACTCCCATCATCCAAGAAAAAGTCATATAGATATATCTGAATGTCAAATCCCTTGTAATTTCTTTTATGCATTTGTTACTCGATGACATTCGTTGGAGCAGGATTATTTCCAGTCGAGGTTGCAACAGCAGCTGTGAAATAAAAACATCGTATGTAAGCATTTCCTAAAATCAGATATTAAGAGTTCTAAGAATAATTTTCTACCTTGGTTGTTGTAAACCCATTTGTTCAAATAATACTTCCCATTCTCCAAATATGCTATCTGGCCAAACGCTTGCCAAGCACTCAACATGTAATAAATACAGCTATTACAATGAATAATATATACCATGTACGATAGAGTACGAGCAATCCTGAATGACATCTTTACTAACCCACACCCACAGTATACTCGGAATAATCACCTGATAGCATAAGGGTTCGAAACAGCATTATCCAACATGTCGAACAAAGCCCAGAAAGAGTTTATTTTCAGAATTCGATTGATTCTGAAGAAGGCGATGGGACGGAAATAGAAGTAACAAATATCCGTTGGCACCACACTTAAAAGATCCAAGACGAATAAACGACTCGTACGATAGTTCTTCCACATCTCACCTCGATCAGACTGAAAATATGAATGTAACCCAAGAGCTAAGTATGAACCGAATTAGGTACGATCGAACGTCCTCCGCGCATGAATTGCAATCTCGGCTTTATCAAAACTGTATCAATCACATAGATGAAATCGAAGAAGTAATCAACAATCATCCAGTACACAATGTTATCTTTAGTCTAAAACCTAGCTTTAGATATTAATTATACAACTTATTTTACCTGATAAGGATAGCTACTTCTTAAGGGTACGCAATATGCATTATAGAGGAAAGCAGCTGTTACTATAGCCAGCCAAAGCATATAGAAAGTACCTTAAACCAATGCTTATACCTACTACGACATATCAAGAGAAACCATATTGATGAATACTATCAGGTAGAGGAATCCATTTGCTTCTCCTTACGGATTCCAAAACTTCTGTTGTTCTCTAGAAATACTGCATAGGCTGAACACTTTGTGATTCATAAAACAAAGCAGGAGCAAAAATTTTGGAGATATGGGGAATTGAACCCCAGCCCTCTCCCATGCTAAGGGAGCGCTCTACCACTGAGCTATATCCCCACGAACTATTTTGAGAACAAATTTTCTTAGTCTCTGTCTCTTCTTCCAGACTGATGGAACACAGTCAAAATTTACCTGTAATCCAATGAGTGACATTAAACTTGGTCTTTTTTCATCTTTTGGTATTGTAGAGCTCACAATAGATATATTATCATCAGGGGTTTCACGTAGCAACGTATCACGTACTGTGGAAGTACGACGTTGAACCTGTAACTTATGCAATAATTATTCAGATGAGTCGCTATACCTCTTTAGCTAAAGTGTGAAGTCTTTCTTTCATAATGAAGGATATTTGAGATCTAACTTCCGCATCAGAACTTTCAGTCAAGAAAGACGACCTCCTATACGTTAGATTCGCTTCTTCGATATCATCTGAATAGCTTCAAAGTATGCTTACTAAAATTTACGACAAAACCAATAGGCTGCCCTTCCTCATTCTCTACTTGAATTGCGATTTGGGGAACAGGAAGAGCTCTGGGTGTTCCCAAATTCCTTAGAAAAGAAGTTATTTTTATACTAGTGTGAAAGAAAACACTCACGAGTCAATGGAAAATCGTGGACTGAAATCATCGTCATCCAAATGTTGTGGTTGAGATTGTTTCTAAAGTAATGAGATATCATTGAAAGAAGCTCGATTCAGAAAAAGAACTCACATCACGTATTAACGACTTGACAGTCGCCCAATGTTTTTTGGGAGCAAAAGCTAGTTTTTTGCTCATTCTCTCTCTCTTTTTTTGAAACAAAAGCAGAAAACTGAATCGGGGATAATTTCCGCTCAAGTCAACGGGAATCGAAAGTGGAATAGACTATGTGGTTAGTGGGATGAAGAATAGCAATTTGAATGGAATAAAAAACAGTTCAATTACAGCAAAATAGTAAAAAGAAGAAATGATAATTCCTTTTCCATACTGAGTTGGGAAAGTTTATTATTGAAAAAAAATATTTTCTCGACTACCCAGGATTATATTGATGGAGCATTACTTAATTCTCACCAAAATCCTGTCTCTAATTCAATAGAAATGTCAACGATTCTCGTATATAAAGACATGATTTATTGTTCAATAACCGTTTCTCCATTTCATCAACTTCTTTTCATTCAATCCCACTAATGTAGAAGCTTTCATTAGCTCACTTGTGCTCAACCAATATCACATTTGCCGTATTCAAATTTATTGGAATTATCTAATGATTCAGCGTGGAATTTCGCGTGGATTTTTTTTCAAAATCATTGAATATTGGCGAGCGGTTGCATTCAAATGAGAATCGCATCCTATTTCTACATATCAATTAGCCTTTTTCAAAAACAAACAATTTTTGATAAATAAAGAAACTCACATGACTGTTAACAATCATAAACCGTCGATATCGAAGTCGTTTCTCCATCTCGTTTTCTTCACTCATTCTGAAGACAGACGTCGAAAACTATTCTTGTCAAGGCGCAAGAAATGTCTATGCTGAGAGAGTGCTCACCTCACCAGATATAATGATGCTTGTTGGTTACTAGGTGATGAGCATCATCCTTCTGCCGAAAGCTGTTGTCGATCAATAGCTACCCCATGGCTTCACGCTATAATAACACTTCGTGAATATATGCAATTTTTGATTCATTTAACTCAGAAATATCATTTTCAGTAATTGTCGAACGATCCGTTAGAGAAAAATAAAAAGATTCAAAACATATATTCATTACTCAACAATATATTATAAACAAATCAAATATTATTAATAAACCGGCTATAATGTTCAATTATTACGTATAAGTAACTCTTCAAATTTTGTTTCTACTCAAACTGTTTCTTGATGAAGGTCGAGCAATTCTCGACTCTCTTCCAGTAATCGATTCTCCACCTATGCTCAGATCACTCGGAGTTCTTTCATGCCTGTGAGGGAACATCGGTAGACTTCGTTCCGTTTTCTCTCGAACTTTCATGATTGGACCAGGAATATTCTTAATTTAAGAAAGTAATATTCGATGTTTTAAATCAAAAAGTACCGTCATATCGGTGCTTCCACGTTGATGACGGTTTTTCGTGAAGGCTCGCATAGTATCAATAGCGTGCGATGGAGCCACATCCTTATACAGAAGGTTTATATTCAAACGACCTAAAAAGATAGCCAAGTGAAGTCAGTGTGATGACTACCAACCTTTCGCGCGACAAGGATCATGTTTGCCTAAAAACTCTTCTAAGGATTCCCATCCTCCTCCAACGCGTACCATGACTGTGGAACGGAGAATTCGCACCATTCGTTTGATTTGGGTATCACCGAACTAAAAACAAATCATGAGAGCAAAAATAAACGTGAAAAACTGACTCTGTAATGTCCATCTGTGATTTTCTCAATCACATAAGGCTTACAACAACTGCAAACTTTGCACTGTCGAGAAATTTCTTCGTTGATCTTCTCGTTATCTGTCACAGGCTCTCGAACGCGCTGAATATAGTTCAGATAACTATCGGAGGTTTCTTCGCCAATGTGTTCATCCTCATCAGGTATCAACGAAAGAATGATGAAAACGAAAAAGAAGACCAGAAAAGCGTCAAGGTCTTCCATTTCCATATTTTGAATGACAAGGAATTGACACACTTTTGTTTATCAACCATAAAACCTCAAAACTTACATTTGCTAGATCGAACCTTAGAGCATTTATGAACTGTTTCGAATCGATAAGGCCATCTTTGTCAAACAAATCAGCCACCTTCTCCATTTCTAGTCTTGAAGTTGGAAATCCTATTATTGAAAATTGTAAAAAGGTATTTATATGATATCGAATTACTGCTTGCAATTATGCCATCGATAAAAACAGTTCTCGGAACTTTGCCTGTGTGCGATCTATCGATTCTGCGGAAAAGATCAGTGACCCGAGCCTGCAAGAGGTAAGCTATGTTGAATTAATAAAATTCGATATACCTTTCCATGGTCATTAAAGTCCACATAACGTTCTTTCCAGTCTTCCCATTTCCATCCTTCTAATCGTTTAAGTTCATTCAAAAGATCTCTCTGTTTATCTAAAGCAGCCTGATGTCCCATCGATTCAATCCATAACTGTTTCCAATCGGAAGATAACTGATCAACGACTGGATTTCTGAAAAGAGCATATTTTCCAGATTCAAAAAGTTCTCGTTATTCGCACCTCATATTTTTCCTCACAGACTTCGTGGCGTTCTCAATATCTGGCTGTCGCTCTCTTAGATCAAAATCAAGATGCTCGTGATTCTTCTGCATAGCGTCCAACTGAAAATATGGAAAGAATAACCGAATTAGAGAAAATTATTTACAGTTTCTAAATCATTTGGCAAAGGATGGGAAGTCATTTCGTTCAAATCATTCCGTTTAGTGGTAACGAAACCACGCAGCTCTTTCAGTTTTTCTTCCAAATCTTTCTCGTTCTGCTCTTCCTCGAGTAAATTGAACTCGCGATCGCTCAATTTCTCCTCAACTTCCTGAAGACTAAACATACTGATATGGTCGAACATGCAACAGAACCTTCCATCGCCCATCAAGAACGCGAATCCAATGTTTTACATTTTGTTCTGCCTTTGGATGGCATTTTTCTCGAATGGTGTTACCCTGAGCTAAGATACTATCCTTATTAGGATGCTCTTTATCCATATCTTTCTTGATTTCGTTCACTTCAGCCAATGATGATTGAACATCATCAATAGGTTTCTAGAAGCTCTTCATGTGATTTTGAGAGAATTTAGAAATAAACCTTAAGCTTTGTTTCCATATGTGCAAGCCAATCCAGAAGAGAATGTGCTTTATGATCAAACTCCGATGCTAATTCTTCGGCATTCTTCAATGAGTCCGATCTTTTCTTTGCAGCTTCATCCAATTCTAGCCATTTTTCATGGAGCCTTTGTGCAGACTCTTGTACAGCTGGAGCCTCATCAACACCTTTGGCTAATAAGTCTTTTGTCTTAAATACAAGCTTATTTTGATTCAATATTCACTGAGTCTCACTTTCTTCAAAACACTTTCCACACCTTGATGTTTTGATTGTCTTTCAGCTGCTTTATTAGCTTCTGCTTCTAGTAAAGAACGAACTGTTGGCAAATCTCCATACACCTTGAATAATGAAAACACTTGAAAAACCATAATTTTCTATTAACAAACCTTATCACTGTCTTCAGCCTTGAGACGTTGCATTTCGTCGTCGATCCATTGCTCTAATTTCACCATGGCCTCATCGAAAGCACCACCTTCAATAACGGCTTGCTCGGCTTCGCGTTGTTTTTCCAGGCAGAGAGCAGTCAACGCTTTCCAACGTTTTGTTAACGCATTATTCCTAAATTAATCAATTGAACATGTCCTTAGCGGAATAATATAATACCTTGAGTTTATCAGCTTAGCATCAGCCTTTGGAGCATGGTCAGCCAGGTTGGATCCTCTCTTTTTGGAAATTTCATACTGTGGTTGTCTGTCAGCCAATTCTTCTTGAATTTCAACGATGTTGTCCAATTGGAGCTTCAGACGATCCACACTGCTGGTGGAAGGAGACTCTTCCGCTAATCTTTCTTCCACGTCATCCATCCAATTTTCTAAACTTTCTATTCCAGAAATCCATGTTCTGACCTCTTCCGCTGCTATGGTTAGTTGCTGAACAACGTTTCTGAGCAAACGCTTGTCGTGATTATATATACCTTTCCTCTCTCCGTTGAACGGTTTAAAACTTTTTCAAAACGATGCTTTCTTGTAACAAGTCCATTTTTTATAGGAATTGCATCTTTTGTCTCACAATAATACTGTAGACGAGTTCCAGTTGCCCGTAGATCAGCAAGGATTTGTTTTCTAGACAAGCATTGAAAAATTTTTAACGAGCTCACTCACCTTTCATTCACTTCTTCTGAGAATAGTTCGTGCTCTTCCAATTGTGCTTCAACAACGTCGAGAATACGACTTACAGGTAGAAGTGAAGTAAGTTTTTTCTCAGCTTCGTTCAACCATTGATCGCATTCTAACATAGCTTCATGTAAGGCAATTGCTTCATTCAAAGCGACTTGAAGCTTTTTCTCCCGATCAACACATAACTCCTAATAGAAAAAATGTTTCAGTATTGTAGTGAAAATATTTTTAAACCTTCACTCGGTTCCACTTCACTTTCATTTGACCATAACTCTTTCCGATCCAAGATTCGCGATCGTTTCCGTGATCGGATAAATATTTCTCCGTTTCTCGCAAATATTCATCCAGTGCGGAACAGTTTTGTTCAACTTCAGCACGGAGTACTCGGAAATCATCCAGTTGAGCTTCAGCAGTTTCGGGTAAGCCTCCCGTCGGTTTCGTAGTGGATAGTTGATGTTCAACATCTTCTAGCCAACTTAACCATCTTTCCAACTCTCCGCCTACATTTTCAGCTTCACCTCTGGCCTAAAATAAGAGCGGGAACAGGTGCAAAAATTAATTTCATCAATCACAAACTTTTTCAATTTGATCCGCTAAGGATTGTAGGTCACTATGTAAATCTCTCCATTTCTGATTCAATGAATCCATTTTACTGGCGATTTCTGAATTAGATTCCTCTTTGATAAGATGTTGCGCAGCAGAGTTCAATGTATTTACACTGAATAAAAGTTTATGATATTGACTAAACTATAATAACACCTTTGTTCATGCGAGTGGACGTCATTTTTTATGACAGCAAGCTTACAAAGCTTTATTTCCACTTGTCTCAAGTTTGTTGCTTCGCCTTCTTTCAATTCGCCCAAGGAAACACGAGTATGATCAATCCAAGCAATCAACTGATTTGCAGCTTCAGACAATCGACCCATTTGAAGCAATGCTTTTTCAATCTGATTGTGTCTATCTTTTAATATCCATTTTAATGTTTTACCTTATGCTCACGATCAGCCAGAGCACCATACAACTTGGCCCACCTAGCATTCAAATCGCTAATGGGTTGACGCACGGCAGCTGCATGGAGTGGGGGTGCGCCACTAGCTAATTGAGTAGCTGTATGAGCGAGTTGCTCTTTAACTAGAGCTTGTTCATCAACATTATCTTTGAAACGATGTAAAGCTTCTAATTCAGCAGGAATTTCATCAACCTGAGTATGAAAAATAATATCATTACTGTGAAGCAGAAAAATACTCGTAGGTTATCGGCAGGTTTGAGAGTATGTACATAAGCCTCAGCTTTGCTCAACCATTCCAAAAGACCTGCTAGATCATCATGGAAAGTCATCGCTTCCTCCATAGCGACTATCAAATCTCTGAAAGAAGTCGTTCATTGGAGTGAAAAAACACTGAAAAAAAAGATTTACCGATTCTTTTCAGCAAACAATTTTGTGATAGTCCCCCAATTATCTTGAACAGCATCAACCTGAGTTCTAATAATTACTTGTTCCTCGGGCGCGATGACATCTGATAGAGCTGATCCTGCCTATAAGAATATAACATACTAACCAAACAACAATGAATATTTTAATGTTCTCTCTGCATATAGAAATTTTAAACTTACCCCACACAATGATAATATTCTAGGGCCAGTTGTAGACATAACACCAGCGACTTCATTCATAACTGCTTGTTGTTGTTGGATTTGGTCCGGTTGACCAATGGCAGGTTCCACAGCTTCCAAACGAACACGCAAATCATCAACTGCTTTTTGACATTGGTCTAATTCGCTCCAGAACGTTTTTGCTTTGCTAAGAACGTCGTTCAAAAAGCTTCCTCTAGAAACAGCTTCTTCTTCTATATCTCTCCATAGCTTTTCGAGTCGGCCAAGTTTGTCAACAACGTCCTGTGCAGCCATATCTCCTATAAAGGAAATAACTATAAGTTGAGAGCTGAGAAAATACGTTTCATACCTTGAGGAGCACTGGATAAAAGTTCGGCAGCACTCTCTTTAAGAGCTGAATATGTCCCTTCCTTATCTCTCAAGCTTTCTAGAACTGCCATGTTTTCAGACAGTTTTGCTTCGAGCACAGTTGGGTCAGCTGATACATAGCTGTTTTCCTTAAGCTTATCTGCAGCTCCTTGAAGATTCTCTACGAATTTTTCTAGTCTTTCCCCGAAACCACTGGTCGCCTCGAATATACTGTCGAGAACTTCCCCTCGCTTTTTGGCGGCATCGAAAACTTCATGATACCTGAAACCGAGAATACAGCTTGCAAGCATTTATTTTCAAACTTTAAATTGAATTCATCAGCTAGTTCTCCTAATTTCATTGCTTCATGCTCAGAGCAAAGCTCTTGCATAGATACCACGTCCAATGAAAACCGGTCCACTAAAGGTTTGTAGGCAGTCAGAGCTCCTATAAGCTCCTAAAAAAAAGAATACAAAAAATAACAGATAGATGTAAGTACAGAGTTGTGATTATGCATTCTTCTCAGCTCCACTGATGGGGTTGTGGTCATAATTTCCGGGGCTGCTCTCAACTCATCATCAATCTGATCAACAGCATTTGATAGCTCATCGAATTCAGATGTGAGTTGAGCGAGGAGAGCTACTGCCTGTTCTAAACAATCAGTTCGGTCCATGCAGAAGGAGGCAACATCGTCGACTAGATGTTTTCCAGTTTCACATTTGTCGTTCAAAGCAGAAAAACTCGGATTTTCTACTCCACCTGGCCCGAGCTGGCGGATAACTTTCTTGGCCTCAGAGACTAACTCACGGAGTTTAGCCTTTAAAAAAAGTAAACATGATTAACTACACGAGAATCCCAGCTAACCTTATTGGCTGTTACATCTTCATTCATAATTTTCTGATTTCTCAACTGAATTTTCACGAACTCGGGGTCGATAGATGGGCGTTGCGCAGTAACTACTCTCTCACGAGCGTCTTGTAGCCATTCAATGAGAAACTCCAGTTCATCTAACACCTCTCTAGATTGCCTTTCTGTTATATCCAACCGTTCTGCACGTCTTGCAACCTGTAAATATTCCATCATAAACATAGACCGAATGTGAAACAACGAACCTTATTAGAAATTTCATGAACTCTTTTGTTCATTTCACCGGTGTTTTGATAGAGCTCTTCAGCCCTTTCAGGACTGCATAATGACTGAAGCTGTCTGGAATATGCAACGAGATCGTCTACTTCTGGCCTCCAACGTGTTACGTCTTCTTCGATGGTGAAAATAAGCTTAACATTCACATAAGACATGTCATTAAAAATCAAAGATACATGAGCTTGAGTTTCAACATCAGCATCATCCACGTTTTGTAAATCTTCTTCGACTGCTTCAACCCATTGCATCACAGCATCGAAACCTTCGTGGAATCTTTGAGAAAGAGGAACGGCTTTGGATATTGCTGCTAGTTTATCATCCGCTAAAGACATCAAACCCTGATACCTAGAGAAAACAACTGAGAACTGATGACTGAAACTGTTTAAGCACCTTATCTTCAAGTTACTCAGCCTGTTCTGTACATTCACGGTATCTTCAGGACTTGCTTGTTTACATAAAACTTGTCCGACTTGTATCACGGCCATAACCATTTCATCATGGTCAGTGATACTCTCCGCCAGATCCTAGAACCCAATATCAGAAAAGGAACAATTATTAGCGAACCGAGAGTAGATTGCATTGTTCCATCAGATCGTCTGGTTCTATAGCTAACTCATCCATCTCTGAAAGTTTATTTTCGGTTTCTGATAGCCATTTCAGTAATTCGTTCGCATCCTAAAAAACCAAATACGTAAGGCAACTAAGGTAATCACCTACATGATCAAAATCGCCCACTTGAGTAGCCAAATCATGCATCATGTCTCTCATGGATTCAACGCGAGTGTTTAATGAATCGAAGCGGGTTTTGAGTATAGCCGAATCTTTTTCTAGTTGAGCAGCATCTTCAGTATTGACCAATGATTTTAGAACAGGCAGTATCTACAAAGTAAAAATTATCAAGATAGATGGATTATGCTGACCGATAGCGCAGTGTTGACGTCCGCTGATTTTGATTTAACTTCTTCCGCTATTTGTTGGTGGCTCTCTAGTTTTTGGGAAGCTTTTTCTGGGTCTGTAGGAAACACAGCCAAAGATTGTACAGCTTTCTCCGTCTTTAAAAAATTTGATAACTTATATACACAATACACAACGTACCTTAGACAACCAGTTATCTAATGGAATTACACATTCAGTTAATCTTTCCGCTAAGTCGACAGCTTCCATAAGTGCTGCTTGCTTTTCCTGCGCTCCTTGTAGAAGATCATGATATCTTAAGAAATGCAATGCAACTTCTGTCAATCCAGGTAATCAAACCTTTTACGAATCGATTCCTCCCTCTGTTTTAAATTAGTTTTTTCGACAGGAGAAGGAGTAAATTCTATGAATTTCCCAGCTAATGTAGAGAACCCGTTGACGTTAGCTTCTTTTTCTTCAATGAATTTCAACAAAACATCATAAGCTTGAAGTTGCGCTTTGGCAACTTTTTCATCAGGCGATGGCTTTTTCTGATTTTTCAGAATCTCTTCTGTCTCATCGAGCCACCCCAAGAGTGCTTTATAAGACTCATCTAGTCTGAAAAAAACAAGATGATTGTTCTTAAATTTTTTTGGTTTTACCCGCCGTCCAATAGCTGTTCTGCTTGAGCTGTTCGTTGTCGGAAACCTACGAGGACATTACTCATAATACGAGCGAAAAGAACTCACCATGAATATTATCAGTCAAATTATTCCAAGCTTCAGACAATTTCTCATCGGTTTTATTCACTAATTCACATTCTTCGTCCATACTAGATGATCGAGTCAGTTCTCTCGCGTTCAACCGAGCCTGAATAACAGAGATCAGATCAAGTTGTGATTAGTCTGAATGTTACTTCTTCTAAATTTTTTTGCTCTTTGCGCGTTGTATTCTCCACTTCATTCAAAAGCTCAATAGCATCCTTCAGTTCAATCTTATCATTTGGCAGTGGATATTTTTTCTATAAAAAAAATAGAAATGTAACACTGCAGTTCAAACCATGTGGCTGTCTTGCAACTCAATGAAACTGTGCAATTCTTCTTGTTTTTCGGCTAACTCATGAACTTTCTTCTCATTTCCTTTGATTTTGTTCATCCTGTTGCGAAGAGCTTCTTTCTGAGCATTGTAACGAGTGACCAAATCGAAAACATGGCGAGGATAAATTGAGTTCCGCCCACCGGCTTCTGATTCGGATAGAGTCAGAACAATATTTTCTAGCTCTTGGAGCAAAGATAAACCTGAAAAATTTGGAATTCAATCTTAAATTCATTATAACTACCTTCATTATGTTCGTCTGCTAAAGAAGCACATTCATCCTTTTGGGTTAGCAATTTGTCTGAAAGAATCGACACAGGTTTCAGTTCCATCAACTTCGCATCAATGGATCCAATCCAATCAGCAGTTCTAAGAATAGTTTTGAAATATTGTTAAAGTGTAAAAGCACGTACTTCTCCTTAGTTTCGAGCAGCTTATCTTCCAACTTGGCATTCTCAACATGCTTGGCTTCCCTTAGTTCAAGCTCATTTCTAACTTGCTCCACGTTATCATTAGCTTTCTTAGCCTGGAAAACAGTTTTGATGAACATGTATTTTAACGCTATTACAATTTCTTCGATATCGTCAGTTTCTGTCGCGTGTGGTAGATTCAACAGTTGTTTGACCGTGTTGTTTATTCCGCTGAGTTGCTTGCTGAGAGCCTCCACATCATCATTGCATGAGTTAAGACGAACACGGTCATTTGGATTCGTGTTCTTGATGGCCGAGAATGCATTATGACAGTTTTCATTGAGGGCCTCATTGGCTATCTGAAGGGATTGAACTCCTTCATGAGCATCGTTGATATTATCCCTCAAACCCTGAAAAGGAAACGTGTTAAATTTTTGTGATAAACTGAACCTGTAAGTTAGAGGATGATCTCTTCAAACGTCTTTTCGAATCTTCTAACAGTTCCATTAAACTGGAAGCGACTTCAGTTCCAATAACATTTTCTGATTTTTTTATCTCATTTTCCAATCCGTTCAATGTGGCCTTTTTACTTTCCATATCAGAACGTAACTTCTGCTCTTCATGGCTCTATAATCGATAAACGTAAAATGAGCATACGATGAGTAAATTACTAAAATATTGAGAGACTCTTGCTTCATCGGTAAACTGAAAGGTTGCGACACCGTCTTCTCAAAGTCATCCACCCATTTCGCCAAGTTATTAACAGCATCTTTAATTTCTTCATTTGCGCTGAGCTGAACTGCAGCATTGTTTTTGCTTTGTTGGATGTTCTCTAATAATTGATTGAGCTTTCTCTTTCTGCCATCTAATTCCAAGGTTCGTTGATCTTTGACATCCTGACTAACTCCCGATCCTTCTAATGCTAACAAGAATCTGAGAACTGATTGATCTGCTTCTCTCATGAGATCCTCCAACTCTTCACTCGCGCCCCCGACAACATCGAGGAGCTGCAGTTTCTCTTCTGGAGTATGTTGAACATTATCAACATTTATCAATTTCTTTTCAATTTGGTAGATGCGATCATCCAGTTTTCTGCAGAAAAATAGTATATTTTCTGTCAAACATGAAAATTTTCAAGAGTACCTGTTAGATTCATGCAGTTCATCATCTAGAGAAATTAGACGATTTTGGAACTGTATCAAATCTTGACATTGCTTTACTAGCTGAGAGTAGTCGTCCTTTAAAAACAATGAATGAAAGGATTCACAAAAACAATCTACCTGTACTCTATATAAGTTTTGCCTAACGTCCCCAGCATGAATACTCCTCTCGCCCGCATCAGATGAAGATTGATACATCAGTTCAATTTCTGTCTCTAATTTGTTCAAAACAGAGGCAATAGACTGCAACTTTTCCTCGCGATTTTCTACTTCGTTCAAGAGATTCTTTGCCTCTTGCTTCGACTGAAACAAGATGGATGACAAGAAGAAATCATAGATCGTAGAGCACCTGGTCCATAAATTTAGGATCGGCACTATTAACTTTGATTTCACCAGCTAGCCTTGTACGGTCTGTCATCCAGGATTGTATTTCACTAGCCATTGTTGAGAATGAAACTAATAAAAGAGTGATTTCATTCAGCCTTAAAAGAGAAATATGATGATATTACATAAATAATAAGGGAGCGCAGTGTTGCAACAGGTACGGATCAATTCATTACGAGTAAGTAACGCCGAAGGTTCACTGCGCGTGGAAATTAGAATGATATAAAAAAATTAGCATATCAGTCTGGCAAATAATGAAAGTCGATAGAGACAAGATTAGTCACCAGTGAGATTGAAAATGGGGCAAATGGGATCTAGAGCAAAAATATGCAGATTCGTCATTCTGATAAGTAATTATATCCAGTTTGCCATATAAACGCGTGAAAACGAACATACTGATCGCTAACTCACCGGCCATAAACACCTTCGACAGTGCGTACTACGTTTTCGTATTCCAAAGCCAGTTGGTTTCGTGCTTCTTTTAATTGAGCGTACTGCTCAGGAGTCATGTTATCAACATTTTCCCTACACAGCTGATCAGCGGCATCTAATTTACTTTTAACCTCATCTCTCCAAACATCGAGAGAATCTTTGATATTCTAAATTGAATTTAGACCTTTCAATACATTGATCCCTTTTTACCTGAACATTTTGTGAAGCACTAGCAGCTGACTCCTTACCGAGGTCGAAATTCAAATGCTGTTTGAAAACCTTCTCCCGGAAACCATCCAAATCTTTTTTCATCCCTTCAATTGTGAGAACCTGTGCAGAAGCAACTTCAGCAACTTCATCCTGCAATCAGTACAATGCTGCACAATACGATCGTTTATAAATTTTCAAAGAACCAAATTATTTTAACAACTTCTGTACCCAATTCTATCTTCATTGTTTCATGTGTTTCGTGTTCTTTGTAATGTCATATGTTTTACAATTCATTATAAAAATTTGTTTACATAATGCATATTGATAATTATGAAAAAATCTATTAAAACGATAAAAATTAAGAAAGGCTGATATATTATGAACTCCATCGGGATTTGCTTAACTATCACATATACATAACTACATTGAGCGGAGATTAAGGCACCAACAGAAAGTCAATATAGAAATTCTTTTAAATCTTTTCTTTTTTTTCATAAGTGAAAAGTTTCATATATCACAAAACTGGAAGGAATTCAAAAGTGAGGATATGGAATTTAAATGATTTGAACAAGATCAAAGGTTATGTAACAATCTCGGTTGGATTAGATGAGAAAAATTTAATATAAAATGAAAACTTGACTGATGTAATCTTCCGAAACAACTAAAACGCGCGCGTGTTAAGGAGAGCCAGGTCTTCATTAAATGTTTCATTTTCAGAAGAAAGTTGAATATACAATTTACTGATGAAGGGATATGTTTAACGGGCCCATGATGGAGCATCATGAGTTTTCTCTGAGGTGCTCGATTGATAAGTGGTATAATCTGCTAGTGGATCTGTTTGACTTTTCCTAAGCTCAGAAGGATTTCCTTGCCAATTAATAGTTTTAGTCCAAGTACGAGTGGTAGATGTTCCTTCAGGAACAGTACCTCCAGGAGATGAAGCACTCTGTCCAGCAGCAGCACTGTTAAGCTCTTCAATTGACAGGTTCAGACCTTCCATAAGACGCTTCGCGGAATCACCGGTAACCATTTTCATGTGAACAGCTTTTGGGATGGAGTACCGTCTTCCTGTTTCAGGATGCACAAATTCGCCGGTAAGAACATCGAGTAGTCCAGTTTCGGCAGCTTCGCGTACGCTAACACGTCGATGGTCGCTAGGACTCTCGATTATTTTCTCATCGGTATCAAAGCGATTAGCTTCCAGTCTGCTCAAAAAGTCATGATGTAAATCAGCGAGAGCTGATGGATCATCAATGATACTGCGAGCACGATCTCCGAGACTTGTCTGACTATGGCGCATTCGAACGGAGAGTGCTGGTTCTTGTTTTTGAGGTGTAAGACGAGTCACAGTTGTAGTTTCTTCACGGAACTTTGGAACACTTGTTCGACTGCCTCTGTTTCCAGCATGGTCCAAGTTTTCGATTCTGAATTTGTATCCTTCCGCATCACGTCGCTTAACAGCCTCAGTGACAGCTTGAGCAGCTTGCATAGGTGAGTCAATCAAGGCAATCAACCCGACTTTAACCGCTTCCTTAATCTTCAACTTGTTGTGGCCAGCATTGAATTTTCCATCGTTGTCGATTTTTCCTCGAGATAAAGCTTCGCGAAGAGTCATAGTTTGGCTGCTGTCGAGATCATGGAGCAGAGAGTCTCCGTCAATGACATCTCTTTCTACGGCATCACGGAAAGTAAGGTAAAGTCCAGATTTCTTATCACGAATACGTCCAGAGTTATCATCAAACTCGTCTGAGTTCAAAATAACTGTCAGATTTTTCTCGTCAGCACCTTCCATAGATTCTACGTTTCCAGTATCAATGTAGCCTTCCTCAATAGCTTGTGCAATAGTCATTTGACGGCCAGTATCAGGGTCGGTGAAAATATTAGCTCGAACATCGATGATTCCTTTGCCAAGAGCTTCAGCGAAATTGAGTTTGTCCACTCTGCGGAGCTTCTCTCCAATGTCGAATGGAATACGTCCATCTTGCACAGCCTTAGAAATAGGTACAATGCTTTGTCGGGAAAGCTGGATGGTACGATTCTTAGGATCGATCAATTTGGAATCAACAGCTTCAATCAGATTAAGTTGTCGGTGAGTACGATAATCTTCAATGAATGGTTTGGTGATGAGTTCGTACGTGCTACGATCGATTAAGCCGCGCTCGACAGCTTCGTCGAGGTTAACATCCTCTCCAGTGATAGGATTATGATAGCTTCGTTTTTGAGTATTTATCAAACCATCATTGAGAGCAGTGGTGACGGGGACTCTGTTGCCTTTAGCGGGATCGAACACTCCATCACTAGTGATAGCTTGCCAAACTGGCTTAATAATATCTATCCAAGTGAGAGGTTTTCGAGTTAATGGATCCCTAACTTCACCAGTACGAGCATCGATAATTCCAAGTTCTATGGCTTTGTGGATTGTGATTCTCTCGTTGTTTCCAGGATTACATACTCCTTTTGGCAGAGTCTCGGAAAGAGTAACGTCCACTAGACCCATGTTAGCAGCTTGGGTGAGTGGGATGGCTTCGCCACTTTTAGGGTTACGGTATGTCAGTTCTCGGATATCAATAATACCGGCACGGATAGCATCTTGTAAGCTGATCTTCTCCATATGAGAGTCCATAACTCCCTTGTTGACTGCATTCTGGATATTTGATCGGAAAACGGAGTAAGTTTTCGTCATCTGCTTTCCCTTCTTATCAACACGTGCAAGACCAATACGTTTGGCATCTTCCAAGCTCATCACTCTGTTGTTACGTTTGTCACGAATACGATCAATTCCAACGAACTCGGCATGTGGCTCTAATTCGACAGATTGAACTTGAGAGGTGCTCTTAACGGACGTCTTGGTTTCAGTAACAAATGGATCTCCATTCATTTGGATGGTGAACTTCATTCCGGTACTAGGATCGACATACTCTCCTTTTTCAACACCACCTTCTCCACGGACAACTTTAACCATGACTTGCTTTCCTCCTCCAAGGTCAACATACTCGTGTCGTCCATCTCTACTGTTGGCTGGAGCTGGGACAAAAGGGGTCAGTTGAAGCTTTTGCTCTACGATTCTATGACCTTGTGTAGGCTTGCTGCTAGATCCAGCGCTGGCAATGAGACCACTCGTAAGAGCAGATGGGAAACTGGTGCTCTCATTGGTTCTCTGGTTGTGAACAAGACCACGTTCTGGATCAACAATACGACGGCTTATAGCTTCGCGATAGCTCAACTCTTCTCCATTAACTGGGTCACGAACCACAACAGAGTGCTGATCCACGATGTTTCTATTCAAGGCTTCGTGCAATGGAAGTTGTTTACCATTGTTGTCGTAATGGCCAGTAGAAAGATCAAGACGACCAGATAGGAGACCTGAATCTAAAGTATCTCCCATAGTTTTTCCTTTAAGGATTCCAGCCTTGAGTGCAGAATGAAGATCATGCTTCTTGTTATTAGCAGTATCGAGAACAGTTCCTGCAGTATCATCCACAATTCCTTCTTGTATGGCTTCGAGTAAAGTGATCTCCTTGTTACGACGAGTATCAAGTACGCTTGAATCGTAAGGATTGAAGAGTCCCTTGATTATGGCTTCTTTTAAAGTCATTTGCTTGCTCGTATCTGGATTAGTGAACATTCCATTTCCTGAATCATACCAGCCAAGAGTCAAAGCTTTTCCCAAGGTGTTATCAGTGAGAGGAGCTCCACTAGAGAGAGCTTCTTTCTTTGAAACTTGGGTGCGGGTCTGCGTCTTGACAGTGGTATGAACTGCATCTCCAGCATTATCAGGAACACCTCCATTTGGATAGATGAAGTGTTGTTGAGCTGCTTCGGTGAAGCTGTACCGCTTTCCTTCAGATTTGTTCAAATAGAATCCTCGCTTGCTATCAATGATACCCCATTTCTCGGCTTCAGTGAAACTCATTTCACGCCCAGTCAGAGCGTCTCTAACACTAATGTCTTCAGGAGTGAGCTTTCCGGAGGCCAATGCACGTTCAATGCTCAGTTTCTCACCTGAATGGTGATCAACCAACACACCGGTAGCTGAATCGAAAGACCATATTTGCTCATGTTCCTCAACAATTGGTTGTCCAACAGGACGGAAGCTGATGACGGGCCCAGATCCAGTAGGAATTTGGATAATCTTCTTTCCTTGATTATTATATGGGACTAGGGGCTCAGCGTCAATAACGATAAGTTTCTCTTCGATAGCTTTTTCAATATTCAGGTTCTTCACAGAACCATTTTTGGCCATAACATTCTTCTCCAGAGCTTCTTTGACTCCGATCATACTACCATTGCTATTCTTTACAGAAATAGTAGCAGCGTCGATGACTCCAAGCTCGATTCCTTCAGCGAAAGTGATATGACGATCCACATTGGGAGCACTTATTTCACCAGATGTGAGGTCTATGATCCCCTTGCGCTCAGCTTCATAAATGTGGTATCCAGAAGCTGGTACTTCAATTGCTCCTTTTCCACCGGTGATAGCACGATAAGTTGAAACACCGCCAGGTCCTCCAAGTGCAGTGGTCTCGGTGGTTCTGACACGCTTGACAGTTGTGACAGACTCCTCAATGTTCTTGTCTGGGTAATATTTTGGAGCAAGCTGTTGACCAGTTTCAGTGACAGATTCTGTAGTTTTCTCTTCGATTGTTGGACCAACTCCAGCACTCTTCGAAGGAACAATCCATTCACTCATTGGATCAATAAGTCCTTGGTTGAGGGCATCATCCAAACTCATATCAATATCACCTTGACGGAAACGCTGAGTTCGGGAATCAATTAATCCTTGTTTCATGGCTTCTTCGAGAGTAACCTTAACTTGATTTTCAGCTAATTCCAGACCGGATTGTCCGGGTCTGCTCACTCTCTTTTTCTTCTCTACCTTTTTCACTGGAGTGATAAGGGAAGGATGGACATCGAAAAGCCCAGATATGAGTAGAGCTCCGCGCAGGTTCACCATACCAGCAAGGTAAGCATCACGAGGAGACAATTCTTGTTTCGTGTTTTTGTTGAAGAAAACAGCCTTCTGGTGATCAATAATACCACGAGATACAGCTTGTACAAGGTTCAAGGAATAGTTGCCTCTGTCATCTTTAATACCAACTGGCTTGATAAGAAGTTCATGAAGAGCGGAGTCAATAACGTTCTTAGAACTATCTTGCTGAATTGGATAACTATCACGAGTAGCCAGATCTACAACACGTTCCGAACTGGTGAGAATAGCTTCGACCTCAACAGCCTCATTGAAGCTCAAATTATGGTCAGTCATAGTATTTCTGATGCCTTTAACATCAAAAATACTGTGGCGGACACGCTTAGTCAAGAGTCCTTCCCGCACGGCTTCGGGAATAGTGAATGTTTTTTGTTGCTTTTCGAGAATAATCAATCCATCGGCGCCAAGAATTCCGCGCTCCAATGCTTCTGCGATGGAGATAACGTCCTTCTCGTCAGGATCCACAATATGACGGACTTCAGCATCTAACAGTCCAGCGGCTATAGCCTCAAGGAGAGTATGGCGATGTTTGGTTCCACGATCAATGAAATGATTTGTAGAATCAATAAGATCTTTAGAGCACATTTCTGTTAAAGTTAAAGGCTTGCAGATCAAGTGCTCACGATGAGCTTCGCGTAGAGACATAGTACGACGACTCTGCAAATCAGTGAAATTTCCATTGCGAACGCTGACGGCGTTGCGTACAACAGCATCACCAAGAGATAATCTCGAGTTATCGGATGTGTTGATAATTTCAGGAACATGCAAGTTAAGGAGATTGTTCTGTTTGGAAACAGCCTCGCGCAGAGTAAACGACTCGTTAGAGTTGCGATCGTTGAACTCCCCATTGTTGGCATTAATCAAATCGTTCTCAATGACATCTGATAGCGTTGTAGCAATCATAGGGTTTTGAGGAGGAGTAACAATCTGGATGTAACCGTGATATAGTGCATCCTTGATGGGCATTGTTTCATTGGAATACTTTCCAGTAAACTGCCCGGTGGCGGTGTTAAGAATCTTTTGCTCAATAGCTTGATTGAGAGGCATGGGTGGAAGCTTCAAGATTCCCATCTTGATAAGCTTATGCTGGGTATCGAAATTGATTATTCCACGACTAACACACTCGTACATGGAGAGAATTTCCCCGCTGTTGATGTCACGGAGTTGTCGTATGTCGGGATCATAGAGGCCTATTTGGATAGCATCCATCAAAGATAAGCTTTGCTTCGTCTCAGGATGATGAATACCCCAATGAGTATTGAGTGCTTCTTGGAAGCTTCCATCTATGTAACCAAGCTCAGCAGCCTTCTCCAAACTGATTCTTGAGCCGGAAACAAGGTCGAAGAATTGACCACCACCAGCATGAAGATCTAGAAGACCTTGTCGTACAGCTTCAACAAAAGTGAGGATTTCTCCAGTTTGCTTATGCAGTACTCCTTCCATCTCGTAGAACTGTGTTTTAGTAACAGTTTCTTCTTGGAACATCTGCATTTCGTCTTCGTGCTCCGTAATTTTAGCTACATCAGGAATTTCACTAACTCCTTCCCATTCATCCGGATTCTCTTGGCCAATAACTTCGAACATGGTGTTTCCACGATTAATGTTGAGATCAGGAACCTGGAAGAAAGGCATTCGTACAATATGAAGTTATTTCAATGAATCGTTCAAATTCACTTCATTAAAAAATAACTTAAATCAAACGTGCTTTCAAAAAAGTAGGAAAAGCAACACACGTCAAACCAAAATTAATATCTTTCGAAATCCGTTAAGAGGAAAGTAGTGGTTGGATTGTGAAATGAGAAGCGAGTTCTTTTGTTATTATCACACGATAGTCTGGCACACGACTAACCTTTTTCTGTCTTTCTTCTTCTTCACGACGTCGTCTTTCCTCCTCCTCGCGACGACGTCTCTCTTCCTCTTCTCGACGACGACGTTCAGCTTCCTCAGCTGCTCGACGGGCTCGTTCCGCTTCTTCAGCTGCTCTCCGAGCGCGTTCCGCATCTTCTGCGGCTCGGCGAGCAGCTTCAGCAGCTTCACGTTCACGTCGTAAACGATCAGCGTCTTCGAGAGCTTTAAGACGAGCAGCTTCGAAAGCACGACGTTTAGCTTCCTCTTCAGCGCGACGACGTTCTTCTTCCTCCTGTAATCCGAGCACTGCTTTGTTGTCAGCCAGATATGTTTAGTAGAGGCACACGTGTGAAGAAACAGAAGCACATCACTCGGAAAATCGCTTTTGTGAAAGCAGAAGCGCACACATATAGCGTGAATGTAGCACGGAAATAATTGGGGACAACAATGATAAGGCAAGGACGGCACATACGGCTGTGCGAATTCAAATAAGGAAAACGGAAACAGCTTTTAAAAGCATCATTACTGAACTGTAATGCTTAGGGTCATATAAGTCCAAGGTAACCAAGCTCTACGTTCAAGCTATTCAGTTTCTAGATATAGTACGAAATACTAACTTCTGAGAAACAACAAAATCATTAGCCTGAAAAGCGTCGAGAAAACCTCGATCAGTTAGTGATGGTGTATATATAGCTATTAAAGCTTCATATGAAAGCTTTGCTGAAATATAAGTTAATGCTTTGGCTGAATTATTATGTAGCATGTTTGGTAATATTATTGCTATGTTTGCATAGGTGTTGTTGTGTGGGTACAGAAGTTGTTAATGTTTAGAATTGATATATAATCGACCCTCGTGAACATTGAACAGAGATTTTCCGAATATGAGACAAAACAAAAAACGCGTAGAACCGACATTTTACTTTTGTAGCTCATATTGGCAGCTCAACTTAGGTGATAGGCAAAAAAAAACTAAAAAGCGAGGAACCAGAGCGTGAACTGATAAGTTTTAGCAAATAGCTGAAGCTGCCAGCATGCGCGAAAATTTTTAGAAATGAAAAGGTAGCGTACCTGTTTTTGTCTCTTCCAGTTTTGAATGAGGACTTGCATGTGGTTTCTTTTCTCCAAAATCAAGCTGGACAATTGAGCAAATCTTCTATTGAGAGCTTCGAGTTCTTCCGTAACAATTTGAGCACCATTCTTGGGCTGAGGTTGAGTTCTACGGAACAGTTGACGGACGCTTGGGCCATGAATACCCACAACAGCATCACCGAACTGTCCCATACGGCTGTCATACCCCTTAAGCATAACCATGAGATGATCAAGTGAAACTTATTATACCTTAGCCTCGCGAATGAACTTTCCTCCTTCACGATTAACATTTTCAATAGCTTCAGTGCGTTCTTGAAGTTGAGCGTACTCAGCCGCCAAGATATCCAACTGATGCTGATATTCCTCTGGTCTTAACTCATCGGGCTTACGAAGACGGTTGATGGTTTCTTCAACACGATCGAGCCAAGCCATTTCACACTCGTATTCACTTCTAGAAAAATAGGTTTTTAAAAGAACAATCAAGAAATTAGTATGAACCTGTAAACCATCTGGATCTGTAGAGCACGCTCCGTGGCCTTGAGACGGTCAGCAACTTGAGCTCCAACATTCTCCCAGCGAACATTCAATTGTTGAACTTCTTCTTCAATTCGGTCTACATCTGGATGACTTCCTTGATTCAATCTGGTTCGTGCAACGTGTTGACGGAGAAGAGCAACATTTTTGTTCAACGAGTCGATAACAGATTGTTGCTGTTGAAGAACCATGTTCATTTCCAGAAGTTGAGCATGATGTCCTCGTAGTTTATCGAGAGCAGCTGGCATATCATCGAAAGAGTTGAGAGTAACCTCATGAGCCTTCACGATGTCTGAGACTTCAATCATGCCATTGAGCACGGATTCGAGGACCTTGATTCTCTCCACATACATACGAGAGAGATCCCACAAATCTTCCCAGATGGTATTCAAACGGTCGTGATTAACTCTTTGTGATGGAGTTGGATTGGGAAGTTGACGGAATAGCTCTTTGACATTAGCAACATCAGTATCAAGGGCCTAAAGTTTTAATTATCAACAGAACTGTGCGAACATCAAACCTGCAAGTCGTCTTCGAACTGTTTGTGTGCATGGATAACCTTCTCGAGATCTTCTGGTGTGCGAGATACAGGTTTTCCAACATTATCGTTGAGCTTTCTCCAAGCTTCCTCTAACTTCCGAAGAAGATCATTCATTTTTTCATCGAATTGATTAGAATAATCTGGTTCTATAAATAACATTTTTCTCAGATGCCGAAAATATAAAAACCTGGAGGCTTTTGGCTAGCATTAAGTAAGTTGCAGAAGTGTTCATTAGTTTTACGAAGCTCCTCACGAAGGCGTAAAGCCAATGGATCGTTGGGATCCAACTCCGAAAGAAGTTTGTTGGCATCATCGTTTAGAGCCCGAATAATAGCCTCACGTTGATCAGGATCGATTGAATTAAAGGTGTCTAAATCCCAGCCTCTGGAAAAAACAGGAATTAGATTTCGCTGCTTTTATCTCTCAATATAAAAACAGCTTGCCAACCGACTCTTCATCGTATAAAGCAAAAGAAAGTCGTTAATTGGGATGCGAATCAAAGACAATACATGTCGTTTCATAACAAACTCACTGAATTGTTTTCATTGTGTTCAAGACCATGTTGAATCGAACCATTCTGTGTTTCTTGTCCCATAGTTTCCTCAATTTCTCGAATTGTTGGAGAAGACGGTTCAAATAGTTGGTTAGCTTCAAATCAGGTGGGGGAATACGGAAAACAACAGATGGAACGACTCCCTCTGTTCCGGACAGGTCTCTGATCTGCCATTTGATCAAATCAGAGTTGTCAAGGAGAGTTACTTCGTCTCCTAGACAAAAAATGTGTTCAAACATATCTAGTAACCAATATACCTGTCTTGATAACAATATTTTTTTCGGAGAAGTCACAGAGAGCAGTAACTGTGATCGGTCTTGTAATTCGTTCTCCTCTCTGCCACAATGGTGAAATTGAAGCACAACGTTCAGTAAGAGCCATGATCACACTATGGTACTTATTGAGGATATCTTTTATCTCATCAAGTTCTCTCAGATAACGTTCACCCTCTTCCAAACTGAAGTCAGTTCGATTGTAGTTGTTTTCGAGGCGTTGCGCCTGCTCTTCCATCCATGTTTCGGCATCAGCAGCTTCTTCCAAGAACTAAAAAAATTATTGAATATCAATTTCTCTACGTTATTTCCGTCGTATAGTGAGTTCATGAAAGAGACTGTTATCCATTGTTTTCTAGAGAGATAACCTCGCTTTGATGATAAGATGTCATAAGTAACTGGCTACGACAAACAACATTCACTGTGACCTTCATCATTATTGTCTACCGTAAATGAACAACGTCAAACACTCACTATACGCGTAACACTAATTCATCAAAGAACTACTCACTGATTTTAGATTCAAGGCATCGCGAAGATGTTCCTCGAGGCATTTTGAGAGAGACAGAAGCCAATCCCATTTGTGTTCCATGGTTTTAAGGTAAACTTCAATGACGTGAATGGCAGGATGCCCTTGGTTGAGCAAAGCAGCTCCTTGATTGTGCACATCGTTGTATCTTCTTTCGCGTAATTCCATTTCATGAAGGAGCTAGAAAATAGTATCATTATATTAGATTCAAAACCATTTTTTTCTCATGACAACGTGTCATATTGCAAGTTTTCAAATGTTTATTTCTTCACATTCCAAGAGAAGTGACTCCGTTCTAATTAGTTTTAAATATGATAGTTTGGTAACCCAACTGACGAGTTTTGCTTATCTTAAGAATATTAGGTTCATTTCGATGATTTCCCATATTTTAATGATATACGCATCATCCAGTACATGCGATGGAAATGTCCTCGAAAGACTATCAATTTCGATCCCGATGCATTCATTTTTACAATCATCAGTAGTATTCAGTCACGTGGCAGAAACACTGACATAGCCTCACCATCACCTTTTCTTTTTTTTGGCGTCGTTCATCTTTATTCCTTGTCAACTGTGCCACACCCACCTAGAATTGTGCTGTAGCTCGCATTCCACAGACAGAGGCAACCGGTTCACAGACGTACAGCACCTCCATTTTTCCTTGGATGACTGAGGAGACCCGCAATCACGTCTTATAAGACATCTCTCCTCCCCTCTACATTCAGACACATACCCAACTGTATATGATGTAGAACAAGAGACGCAATAACAAACAGGAAAAAAGGCAAAACAAAATACCAAAAAAGTAAATCTTTTAACTTTCAACATCTAACACTCACAACTATAACAAACGTTCTCCAGCCTTTCATACATGAGTCACTCCTCCGTAAATGTAGAGCGAATATATGACATACCTGCTTGTAATAGTTCTGAAGCATAGGCAAGTCAAGTTGCTTAATATCCGACCAGTTGCGAGATACTTCGATATCCTCTCTTTCACTAACCCACACAAGTTCTAGTTGAGCGGCACGTACGAATGCAATCAAGGAATCCTTAAGAGAGTTTATACAAATGTTCGTATGATCAATTATACCAAGTCAAGCATTCGTCCAGCAGAAAGATCTCTGAGCTGCTGATATTCAGATTCCAAAACTCGTAAAAGCTCACAGTATTCATGAGTATCTTCTGCAGATACCTCTGCCTGAAAAAAGTTTCATTTTGTATTATTATGTATTATCTGTCGTCCCCAGCATAATCATATATGAT